TAACGACCGAGGGTATGCACTCAAAATTAATTTTAGAAATCTTCATTTTCTATAATTAATTAGAGCCTTGTTTAGTAGTTCACTCTATGTAGATTACATAATTGGAAGCTCCATTATCAAAGGGACTCCCATGAGGTCACACTGGAGTCCACTGATTATGGATTGCAATTTTTTTTTTTATTATTATCATATTATTATTTTTAAATAAAGAAGAAATATTTTTTTAATTAGGTACTGGGATGTTGTCTGGAATGGAAACTCTGACAGGTAAGTTATATTCTTTGCATTAACTACGTATTGAAATTAAAATAAATTATAATTTCTTAACTAATTATAATTCACTGCTGCTGCTGCCACCGCAGACTCGCAACGTCAAATTTTAAAATAGTGACCCTAAACGACGACCAAGTAGAGCTTTCCTTCTCCAAAACATGGAATTCCTCCAACTCCATAGTTCCCTTAAACGTTGACAGAAGGTTCGGCATTTTAATTAATTTTTTTCCTAAATATGTTCTTTTCTTATTTCCAAAAGAATTTTAAACAATGTTTGCTCTAAAGGTAAATTATAACCATTAATTGAAAATTTTTTTAACAGATAAAGTTTGATACCATAATAAAATATAAGCTTAGTTAGGAATTAAGTATTGGGTTGCGGTTGTTAATTTTTCTCTCTTTTACTATTTTAGAGAAGGATTTTTTTTAATATATGTTGTTAAGGTATAATAAGATAAAGTATAATTAAACACCTTTTAATAATTCAGTTATATTAAAAAACAAAAATTTTAATATCAAATTCAGCACCAATATCATATGTATTAATCATGTAAATGAATTTAATTAGTTAATAAATTGATAACAATTAAAGTTAAATTTTATTTTTTATGTAATTTAATGATTAAAAACTGCATTAATTTTATTTTTAATCTCTGCCTTAATTTAAAATAAAAATTAAAAAATTACTTTAAATATATGCAAAATGTTAAAAATAAAAAACTAATATTTTTTGACAAATTATTACAAAAAAATAACAATTTTCAAAGAATTTCCGAAGGAAGCTTTAAACGTGGAAATCTCAAGATTTCATAGCGTAAGGCTTACTAGTATGCCAAGAATTGGTTGACAAATTATCCAAATTAGTAATATATAATAATAGTTTTAATTATGCAGGGTTATTGTTCGGCGTGGACTCTCCGGAATCTACATATACAGCATAATGGAGAAGCCGGCGGAGTTTCCTACCGTGGAAATTGTTCAAATAAGGGTGGTTTTCAAGCTCCAAAAATTGTAAATAATATATCCTCATTACAAAAAACTGAAACTTTTGTATTTACCCATAATGTACTGGCGTTTCAATTTTATGGACATTAATAATAACTCTTAAAATCATCGGTCAGGTTCAATTATATGGCAATATCGGACAGCCAACAGAGGATCATGCCAGTAGCAGAAGATCGAAACCCAGGCCGCTGTCAGGTTCTTGCTTACAAAGAAGCTGTTTTGTTGACCAATCCTACTAACCCCAGCCTCAGGGGGCAGGTACTTCTATACATGTGTGTGTTTAATATTAATAATTGGATAATGAATGACCGTGATAATAGGTGCGCGTATCCCTTATTAATTAATTGATAGTGTGTAGTCTGATAGAAGCTTAACAAAAAAATACTAAATTCATATAATATATATCGTAATTAAATGTCACAAATTATGTGTTAGGAAATAAAAATTAGAAATTTTATTTTATAATTTAAATTATATTAAATTATAAAGTAATAACTTAATAATAATAATAATAATAACTTTTTTATATCATATTTTGATATAGTTTTCACATGTCATTAAATGAGTGAATTCATTTAATATCACAAATTACATATAAGTAAAAAAAATTAATCATATAAATGACACATTAAATTATAAAAAAAATGAGATAAAAAAATTATATTAAAATCATTTCCTAACAAAAAAAATCTTTAATATTAAAAAACTTAACTATTAACAAGACGTCTTGGTTTCATTCTGTAGTCTTTACTGGTTA